GATATCAAAAAAGTACTCCAGAGTGTTGTTCAGCATGGGGGTGAGTAGAAAATGAAGGCTAATCATGTTTTGGGTGTACTATTCCTTTAAGTCACCTTAACGGGTTTACAGTTTAGCACAAGCCGTCCCATTTACCTCTCTGACCTCCATCGATATGGACTGTTGCGTCTCGTTCGTCTCATTTACTCCCCTCGCCTTACTTAATTGTCCTCCAGGAGCGGGTCCAGCGGAGCTTTCCTCACCCCATCGATAAGTGGGCCATCGCAGACGCTCTTGCCGCCATTGACAAGAAGAAGAGGAAGAACCCGCTGGCTCTTCCTGTGGATAAGATTCACCCGCTGCTGAAGGTACCGGTGCTCCTCTCCTTCCTCTGATCTCAGCTCCTATTCCGACTCATCTCAGTCTCCCGTTATTCCTTCGGTTCAGGAGGTTCTGGGCTACAAGATCGACCATCAGGTGTCTGTGTACATGGTGGCAGTTCTGGAGTACATCTCGGCAGACATCCTCAAACTGGCGGGGAACTATGTGAGGAACATCCGCCACTATGACATCACCAAGCAGGACATCACTGTGGCTATGTGTGCCGATAAGGTCAGGGGACACTCAGCGGAGCTGGGTCGGGTCTAACAGGGGTCAGCCGGTTCCTCACTCGTTTCTGGGTCTCTCTGTATATTTGTTCTTGCAGGTGTTGATGGACATGTTCCACCAGGATGAGGAGGACATCAGCCTTTTCCCGCTTTTAGACGAGGAGCCTTCAACCAATGAGGAGCAGAGTTACTACGATCTGGTGAGGAGCTTCATGGCGGACATTCGGCAGTACCTGCGGCAGCTCAACCTGCTCCTCAGGGTCTTCAGAGAGCCCTTCATCTCCAGTCCCATGCTCTTCTCACAACACGTACGTATCCAAAGACAGACGCACGGCCGTCGTCTCGGTGGGATCTGGTTCTGAACGGTTGGTTTGGTCCCGCAGGACGTGGACAGCATATTCAGCCGGATCGTGGATATCCACGAGGTGACGGTGAAGCTGCTGGGTCTCCTCGAGGACACGGTGGAGATGACGGATGAAGGAAGCCCTCATCCTCTGGTGGGAAGCTGTTTTGAAGACTTGGCTGAGGTTTGTGCCATCATTGATTGGTTGGTCAGGTTTTCCAGGCTCTGGGTCATCTCTGATTTGATTGGCAGGAGCTGGCCTTTGACCCCTATGAGACCTACGCTCAGGACGTCCTGCATCCGGGTTTCCAAGAACACTTCCTTAGCCAGGTGACCAAACCAGGAGCTTCCCTCCACCTGCAGGTAAGATGGGGGCAGATGATGTGAATAGTGACGGATATGATGATCTGACTGTTGATGATGATGATGGTAAATTCTTCCTCTGTTTCAGTCCATCTGTGTTGGTTTCAAAGAGGCTGTTCGCTACGTTCTGCCCAGGCTGCTGCTGACGCCCGTCTACCACTGTCTGCACCTATTTGAGACGCTCAAGGTGAGGCACCGGTCCTCCATCAGTTTCTAAACATGCTCATCTTCATCCTCACTAATGATGATGATTCCTCCTCCTTAAAGCAGGACTATGAACCTTAACCCTTCTTCATCCACATCTGAATCAAAGAACAACTTGTAGATCGGTTTAGACAAGTAGATTAGCTTAAAAACATATTTATAGAAGATGAAACGGTCCCTAGAAATCCCTCTAAGCGATAATCTGACCCCACTGGGAGCGCCGCCAGTTAAGCGGCCTAAGAACTATCGCCACAGCTTTATCCTCACAAGGAACCGAGAACTATCTGGATTGTTCTGTCTATTACAGACCTTCTCTTAACACCTGGTCAGGCTTTCGCCATGTTTCTGCCTCTCCTCTGTCCTCAACTCTCATAACCCTGGACATGTTATTGACCAGAGGTTAGATGGACAGTGATTGTCGAAGAATCAACCAATCAGTGGACTCGATGCTGGGATTAGTGTCGCCAGCTGCTTAATTCATGTCCCTCATTTGGACATCGGCGTGTCTCTGATGTAAGCGGAACATTAAATAGAATAAAGCATTCAAACAGCTGCTGGTTTCCAGCCAGACCCGTTTCTGGCCGGTCCGGGTCCGGTCTGGGACTTTCCATTGTGCTGCTTTAAGCTGCTTTGTTCCAGCTGAGCTGAAATCTCTGAAATTCCTTCAGTCATGTTTTGCAGATTATTGTCCGGCTGAACTGGTCGGAGAAGGGCGGGAGTATTAATCCTGATCCGTTTCTGATCCGAGACTCCAGACACTGGTTCTGAAACAGTCAGAGGCCCCCTGGTGTCCGAGCTGGTTCCCTGCGGGTTCCCAATGCTCATTAGCATGCAGCGTTCCTGTGCAGGTGGTGCTGATGCTCTGTTCTTCTGGGTTTCCATAGCAACTGGAGGAGAAGAGTGAGGAGGAGGAGGATAAGGAGTGTCTGAGGCAGGCTATCACAGCTCTGCTTAACCTGCAGTCCAGCATGGAGAGGATCTGCTCCAGGAACCTGGCAAAGAGGAGGCTTAGGTAAGAGCACAGCTGAGAACACCTTCGTACACCAGGAGGAGCAAACGGACCATCTCTGGTAGCTCCTCCTATCCCTGACCCCCACTGTCTCCACAAACATATCCTAAGTAGATGTTTTCCTTCTAACTAACTTTTTGTCAGCCTTTATATTAGCTGCATAGTTAACTCCTCATTGAATCAAAGGGTCTGCTACACGCAAAAACATCACCATGATTAAACTGGCAAACTGAGAGAACAACATCAGTGATCAGTTGGAACGTGTGTTAAAAAATGATAAAATTATGAATGTGATCAGACTCAGAAAACGTGTGCAGAGAATTAAAGCATTAATGAACAGTTATCACAGTTATGATTAGTTAAAACAAGTATGAACGCTTAGAACATGGGATTAGTTCGAACATGTATGATCAGAAACATCCCCATCTGACCACTGAAATTCAGTCTGAAACCAGGTTTCTGGATGGTTCTGGTTAATTCTAGGGGTGAAGAAAAAAATCGATTTGAGCTCAAATCGCATTTCTAACGTTTAAAGATTCAGAATCGATTCTTATTTTCTTTAAAAATGATTTTTTTTGTGGTACGGATGTGCCTTATCAGGCACCGTGGTGTTTGGCGAAACCAATGAGCAGCGTGAGCTATGCACAGGCATGCAAGCGTTAGCCTAGCAGGCTAGGTGTTTTGTGAGCTACTGTGTTTATTGCCGCTAAAGTATGGAGGACAAAGAAAAAGAAATTCAACCGCCTCCGCGGTCTTTAAAAGCAACCATTTGGAAACACTTTGGATTTTACCTTCAACCCGGTAAGAAAGGGCTTGACATGACTCATTCGATTTGCCGAGATTGCAACGGTAAAGTTAATCATTTTGGGAGTACTTCAAATCCCCGTTCTCATCACGAAAGACATCACCCAGAGTTTGTTTTGAATCGTAAATTAATTGTTTCTGAATCGAATGGTTTGGATTTAAAAGAATTGGAAAAAAATCGAATTGTGACCCCAAGAATCGATTCTAAAT